GCGGGGGCGTGCGGTGCGGTGGCCCCCGGCCCCCGGGCGATGCTGGCCCAGGGGGGCCACCCACGCGCTCTGCCTCCCGGCGGGGCAAAGCCCCGTCGGGAGGCAGAGCGCGTGGGTGGCCCCCGGCTCCTCACTCCCGAGCGACAAAAAATATCAGCTGAAATGACAACTTCCCAGGGCAACCGGTGCTAGCGGGTCGAGCGCTGTCGCTGGGATGAGTTATTTTCCTCCTAGCTAGCCTGGATTTGGTTTGGGAAAATCTCATTCCCTATTAATCCTTGTAGTGTGAAATCATATGAACTTTCACACATATGTATATACAGTTTGCATTGTATACTGCATGGTCATGCTTGCTAAAGGACCCCAAGGAAGAGGATGACAGCCCCCAGCCCGAAGAAAAAAGGGTGCCCCTCGGACTACTGAGACAGCACCAGCATCCTCGCCCCTCTCACACCTCCGTGGAGCCCTCCCGTCATCTGGCATCATAGTAACTGCGGCAAGACCAACTCCGGGGACGTCTAGATCAAGAAAGAAGCAGGTGGATGAAGACGCCATAGAATTATAGTTGCTTTGCGGAACAGTCGTGTGCGTGTGGTCCCTAGCGATTGATCAAGTCATGGTGTATCTGAATGCCTGAAAGGTGTAAGAACCATGTGTAAAACCGCATTCGGGGTCCCCCAATTTGAATGGGACACCTCACGAGCATGAATAAAAGCATTACTCTTGTAACTCTGTCCTTGGCGTCTGAGCCCCTCTCCTTGGTCGGCACAGGCCAGCTGTGAATTTTGGTGACCATTTCCACTGCTGCAGCCTGTGTCTGCTGCCCCTCACCGTTTACTGCGCAGCTCCCGCACAGCCTCCCGTTAGGTAGTTGAAGACAGCAGCAAGACTTCTCTTCTTCATGCTGATCAGACCCAGGTCTTGTCATCGCCACCCATACATAATCCCTCCGGGAGGCAAAAATTCAGAAAGCATGAGCAACGCCTGAGTGAACAGGTTAATTCCTTTATCGTCTGATTAGGTAGCAACAAGGCAGAGAAATGATTTGAGGTCAGTGATATTCCCAGTTTTCTTTGCTTGGTTTTATCTTTTCAGTGATTTTAATGATTCATGTAATACATCTCGTCGCAGGAGCTATTATGCGCCACATCTGCATCTTAGTTCAACAACGGCAATAATCTCAGGATGTTTATTTCGTTGGCAAGCAGAGAGAAATTGTTGCGAACCGTGAGCCCTGCTGGATTTTCCTGTCATTCTCTTCTGGCTGGGTCACGGGTGCTTTATCCTGAAGTCACTGTAAATCCCCCAAAATAAATACTAGAACACCTCCAGAAATCAAAAGCTTTTGATACTGCCTCTCACAGTGTCCTTTTGGACAAAATGTCCAGCACGCAGCTAGACAAGTCCATAATACATTGGGTGAGCAATTGGCTGACAGGTTGGGCTCAAAGACTTAGAGTAAATGGGGTTACATCAGGCTGGCGGCCAGTCACCAGCGGGGTTCCCCAGGGCTTGATTTTTAGGGCCAGTGCTCTTTAATGTTTTTATAAATAATCTGGACATGGGAGTCGAATGTACATTAAGTAAGTTTGC